GCTTGAGCCCAGGAGTTTGAGGTTGCTGTGAGCTAGGCTGACACCAGAGCACTCACTCTAACCTGGACAAGAGAGTGAGACTTTGTCTCAAAAAAAAAAAAAAAAAAGTGAATTAGTGGTTTTAGGTGCAACCATTGTAAAGGTTGCCTGGATCATTATTTCATTAGGGATAGCAAAATGGTTGTATTCTAGTTTATCATTCTTTTGTTTGTTAGCTAAATTTCTATAGAAGAAAAACTGTCCCTTATCAAATCTTTGATCACCCTGAGGTACAATTCATACAGGAAAGGAAAGATAAATGCTTGATACTTTCTAGAAGGGTACTTTTCTCAATAAATTTACAGTGAACGTAATAGTGGATAACTTTTACACGTATTTACCTTAAGATCTACAGCAAGACAAAGATGTTCCTACTATTATTGCCATCGTATAACGTATTACTGGAATTCCTTGTCAACAATACAAGTGAAGAAAAATAAAAGGTGAAAATATTGGAAGAGATAAAATTGTCATTGTGTACAGACTATACATATGTTTACCTTGGAAAAAATAACCACAACAGAATCAAACTATTAGAACTTCCTTGAGTTCATCAAGGGTACTAAAAATTAATACTGTTTCTTTTCATCAGCCTCTAATCTTCTTATACAAAGGACTTATATGAAGAAAACTTTAAAATTTCAATAAAGGACATAGGAAATAATCATAGACATAGTAATTTACTCCTGTTAGGGATGCTAATACTCCTGAAGTTTATCAATAAATTCCAAATAATCTGTCAAAATTTTAGTTGGATATTTTATAAAAACTCTGTAAACTTACTCTAAATGATGTGTGGAAGAGTAAATGTTTGTGAATAGCTTAGCTTTTTAAAAAAGAATAAAAGGATACTTATCCTATGAGATATTAAGACATACTACAAAGCCATATTAATAACTGTGGTATGATATAAGAATAAACAAATAGATCACTCAGATATATTATAGAGCTTAGACATAGACCCATGGATACATGGGAACTTAATATATTATAAAGGTGACATTATAATCAATAGGTGAAAGAATGTTTAGTAGATAGTGTTGGAAAAAAAGTAGCCCATTTTATACAGAGAAATAAGACTATGTCTTTTCTGCATCATATTCAAAGGTAGACTCCAGATAGATTAAATACCTAAGTATGGAAGGTAAAACCAAAAGGTTAATAGAAGAAAATGAAAAATATTTTTGTGACCTGGGTTTGGGAAAGAACTTCTTAAAACCTCAAAGCACAAACCAAATGTATATATTAATATAATTGCATCAAAATAGGGAGTTCTGTTTAGCAAAGGGGACTCCATCACCCCATGGGCAAAATTAATACAAATTAATTTTGTATTTTTTAGTTTGACAAAATGAGAGACAATACTTTCAATGTTTGATATTGACAAGCAATCGTCCTCCTCCAGACCAGTGTATACAAGGAACTCCTAGAAATAAACAGATAAAGAAAGCAGTCCCAGCAGGAAGATGTACGAAGAATATTAACAAGCAATTTAAAGAAAAGGAAACCCCAAAAGCAGCAAGCATATGAAGAGTTACTCAAACATTAGCAATCACAAATGCAAATTAGAACAATAAGATATCATTTCATATGTTAGGTTGACACACATTAGAAAATGATAATACCAAGTGCTAGTGAAGATGGAGGGCTATAAAAACCTTTGCGCAAGTATGACCCAGCAGTTCTACCCTTGAGCTTATATGCAAAGAAAACAGATCTATAAGAGATCATTTACAGGGATGTTCATTGCAACATTATTTGTGGTAGAAAGGCATTGGAGGTAATCCAGGTGTCCAGCACTGGGATAGTAGAGGGATAAAATGTTTGGGATACATCACTCAACACAGAACACTTTTCACCAGATATGTGTGGGGTTTTTCCCATACACAAGCAATTCTCCAGTGGACACCAACTGGGTGTCCTACAATTTGTTTAAATTCTGACACCACCTATCTGGAGATAGCATAAGATCCCACAGGTTGAGAGCTTGGTTCTGCAAGACTGTCCTCCACTTCATAACCCAATTGCAAGTAATAAGTTGTCACCTGTACTTGTGACCAACCAGCCATGAATTGGTGATTCCTGTGACCCTTTCCTCAGGTTCAATTAATTTGCTAGAGCAGGTCACAGAACTCAGGGAAACACTTTACTTAAGTTTACCCATTTATTAAAGGATAGTACAAAGGATACAGATGAACAAACAGCCAGATGGAAGAGATGCATAGGACAAGGTATGTGGGAAGGAAAACAGAGCTTTGATGCCCTTTCTGGGCACACCCACCTCCAGGCACCTTTACCTGTTCAGAAATATGGAAGCCCTTCAAAACTAGTCCTCTTGGATTTTTGTGGAGATTTCATTACATAGATGTGATTGACTGCATCATTGCCCATTGCCGATCAACTCAACCTTCAGCCCCTGGGTGTGGCGGAAAGTTTCAATCCTCTAGTCACAAAGTTGGTTCCCTGCCATCATCTCCCATCCTGAGGCTATCCAGGAGCTCACCAGCCATCAGTCACTTTAGTAGAACAATAGACTCTCTTATCAGTTCTGTGTCTGGAACTAGGGTCAAAGACCAAATATTAGCAAAAGATTCTCCTGGCACCTCTGTCTATCTATAGGGGTTTTAGGAGCTCTATGTCAGAACCTGGGGGCAGAGACCAATATGTATTTTAATTTTACTCCCCATTTCATTTCACAAATTATAGAGATTCTCTTATTTAAGATATGATCTATAAATATTAATATATCTAACAGGTAGTATGATAAAAGCAAATGAAACAATTGAGGGCACTACAGCAAACCTGTGAAATTCTTAAATCTCCTGTTAGGATGTCTCATGGGCCATACATGTTGTGTAAATACCAGATGTAGTAACTAAATAAGGAGACCCATATCAGTTTGTGTGCTGAACATGTGGAACGTTTAATTTCGTCTTTTAGGTCTAATGTACTTATTTATTTTAGAGTTGGAGTCTTGCTCTGTTACCTAGGCGGGAGTGCAGTGGTGTGATCATAGTTCACTGCAGCCTGGAACTCCTGAACTTAAGCAGAGTGATCCTCCTGCCTCAGCCTCCTGAGTAGCTAGGACTACAGGCATGCACCATCACATTCAGCTATTTTTTCTGAGAGATGAGGTTTTACCACATTGCCCAGGCTGGTCTTGAACCCCTAGCCTCAAGCGTTCCTCCCACCGTAGCCTCCCAAAGTACAGGAATTACAGTCATGAGCCACCATACCTGACCTAAAATTTAAATAGAAGCATATGTTCTGATATTGTCTTCTTGCATCCCAGTTGATATTCTTGCCTTTCTGGAGGTGCATACGTGTCACTTTGAAGACTGTTGGTCTCAAACACCTTTTTGGAGGAGGTTATTTGAAATCCTAAGAGATGAATCTTAAGAATTTGTACACATTTTGAATCTATTCCATATACATCTCTGTGTTTTAATATATAATGTTATTTCCCCAAATCTGTGGGAAAATTTATCATTAAGTTAAAATTTACCATTGTACTAATACGTGCCTTGAAAAACTCCTTAGTACACATCCACTATGACAAGCAGGTTCTTAAACTAATTTCATTGGTCAAAGATCTGACAGATCTTTGGAAATGATATTTCCTTTCTCATAACACCAAAAAACTTCACTATTCTGATTGTTCTAGGATGAGTTCCAATTTAAAGTAGTCTGTTGTGAAATATATAGTTATTTTATGACACTATGATTTTTTTTTCCTTTAACTTTACAGAGACTGTGCAGTTGATCCAACTTGTGTTTTATGCATGGAGTGCTTTTTGGGAAGTATTCACAGAGACCATCGATATAGGGTTAGTAATATTCAAATAATAACCATACCCAGTATTGAATTTTATACAAATATCTTTCCTTTCTATTTGAAACCCAAAGATTTAACATTAACATGGAGGAGAGTGGTTTAAAGAATGTATTATTTAAATGCCATTAAACATGTGATGACAGTGTAGAAATGAATTATGAGTCCACACTTCCTGGAGCTTGTAGTTTAAAAGTGACAACACAGATATCAGCTCTTCCATATTGGTTTTCAACTGGTTTGTTTTTGTTTTGCTATTTTTAAATGTTTATTAAAGAGGCATCTACTACAGTGCAGGAGGGGGCCCAACTCCAGCACATAAGACCTGCCAATTTTATTATTTTTTCACTGCTATAATGCAGTCAGTACTATTCCAAAAATCAGGTGTGTTTGTTTGCTTTTAAGTCAGGGATACAGATAAAGGCAGGTTATTCCTAACCCTGTCCTGGTTCTTCAACTGGAAATTGAAGGCTGACCATGAAGATTCAAAGGTTAGGGAACTATTTTTAGATGAAACTTTTCACCCCAATCATAAAATAGAATGGTAAAGAAGGAATATTTTATGTTTTTTAGTTTTTAATTTTGTTTTCATTTCTGATTTAATCAGTTAGAGAAGGAATATTTTAGTCAACTTGTTCTTAATTCAGGATCCCTGCTGAGTCAGAATTTTTCCTCCTATTTGTTTTTATTCACTCTATCCAAGAGTTGATAACAATGAACTACAGAGCTATAAAATTGGGCTCCTTATATTCTTGTATGTTCTCTTTAGTCTCATAAATCAGTAAGAGAAGCTCAGTTTCCTTCCAGCTGTTCTTCCTGTGTGTGGGAACTGGAGCAAGTTATGTAGGTGGGGTTGTTATTTTCCCAGTGGCTGCCTACCTGCGTTTCTTGGCATATAGCTTTGCATCCCCTGGGAAAAATTGTCATTTGTGTGGTTACATTAATTATATTGTGATGTATAACACAAATATTTACTTTGGGCAGAATATAATAGGGCACATTCTAAAATTTGCTGTATCTAATATCCATTCCTAAACTCTTCCTTAGAGTATTTTAAGAAAAGCAGAATTTCTAGTCTACTAGTTCCCATTATTAACTGATAGGTTCTGTCATGCCGGATTTCTTGAATCATTGCCATATCTTAAGGAAATATGAATAATTCTTGAACCCTGCTGGTTATGAAAAGTTTTTATTATCAGGCAGTCTACTGTTATATTTTCTGAGACCCTGTTACCTGTCCTTTCAGAGTGACTATTTAGGGAGTTTTAGAGAAGAAAAATAAACTGGAGTGCAATGGCATGACCATAGCTCACTGCAGCCTCAAATTGCTGGGCTCATGTGATCCTCCTGCCTCAGCCTCCCTAGTCGCAGGGACTAGAGGCACCTGCCACCACATCTAGCTAATTTTTAATTTTTTTTGTAGAGGGGGAGTCTTGCTATGTTGCCCAAGCTGGTCTCAAACTCCTGGCCTCTAGCAATCCTCCCACCTTGGCCTCGCAGAGTGCTGGGATTACAGTCATGAGCCACCATGCCCAGCCTAAATAGCTCATTTTATTGTGAAATCACTTAAATTAGTTTATAGACTTATTTAAATTAAACTTTAAAACATTGAGAGGTTTAGCATTTTATTTAATTTTATCCCTCCAAAGAAAAACCTAAGCAATGTTATTTTCCTTAGCACTTGATATTCTTATTTATTATCTCATAGCCCTCAGTAAATACTTGTTAACAAGATACTTTACAATTTTTTTTCAAGATGACAACGTCAGGAGGTGGAGGTTTCTGTGACTGTGGTGACACGGAAGCTTGGAAAGAGGGTCCTTACTGTCAAAAACATGAACTTAACACCTCTGAAATTGAGGAAGAAGAGGTAAAAACATTTTCACAAAGTTGTTTTAAAGAAATGCTGTTTAACCACCAGTTTGAAATATTTCCAGAAATAGGAATTAGGTTATAATGTGAGAGAAATAGATAAGCAAATAGTCCTGCCACTATTAACACTAAGTGTACTTCAAAAGTTCTTTGCATTTTGTGGATGCTGTACCATGGCTAGTACAAACCTGAAATTCTGGAAATTTAGTTTAATACAAATTTTTTATTATATTTGGTTGGGGTTTTGTTTTGTTTTACATATATATAAGGTTTTTTTAAAGTCTTAATTTATTATTGAAGGGGTTATTTTTCCTGCATGTGTAGTCCAGTTGACTAAGTTGGTTTTTGTATATCTGTGTTGTGACTAAGACTTTTTAGGCCAGATAACTTTCTTTTCTATTACCTTACGTGGCAGCCAACCCATCATTATCTCCTGGCTGATCGATGTCATTGAATGTGTGATGGGACCAAGCGTTGAGATGATAGCTCAAAACAAATTATCCCTACTCCAGATGCAAATGTGTACTTCTTAAAATTGTTGATCATGTATTATTTTTTTTAAATGATATTTCTAATGAAATAGTGGACTCGCACAAAATAAATGCTTGAATCTCTCTTGCTTTTTCAGACTTCAAAAACTTTGTCTATAAACTCACTTAACTATAATTATACAATGATAAAATCTTTTGGTGATATACTCTAAGAGATTATTTTTATTCTTTTTAATTGACACATAATAATTGTACATATATATGGGGTATAGTGTGATAGTCCAATACATGTATATAATGTACAATGATCAAATTAGGGTAATTAGCATATCCATCACCTCAAACATTTATTTCTTTGTGTTGGAAACATCCAAAATCAAAATCCACTCAAAATAGACAATAAATTGTTATTAATTGTAGTCACCCTATAGTGCTATAGAAC